ATAGACTATCTCTCAATTTTTTTTTCTGGGGAGATGACAGTTTTTTTGCCTGTTTTTTTTTTCTACTTCATTTATATTGGTAATTCTATTTCATGGTTTAACACATGAAAATTTATCAACAGACGTCTTTGATAAAGATTAATCAAAAAAACCTGTCACTTAAGAGGAATTATGCCACCTGTTTGTTTTTTTTTGCAGTTATTCAACATCTCTGATTGTTACTTCTATAAAACATGATTATAAAGATTTGTACATCAAGTTACACAACAAAAAGATGGAAATATAAAAGGGAATTTTCAAGATCAGCACCTTTATAAAATATAGAATTAATTCTTTGCTACAAAGACATTTTTTTAAATAATCTAATTTTGTCTTTCAAAAAGTTTATCTTCATTTTTTTTTTTTTTGGCACAAATCATTTCCTTTTTTTTTTTGGTAATAAAATTTGACTTTGTAAATTTTGTGGGTAAATTGGCACAAAAAGGGGTCTGTTACAAAAATGTTGGGAAATTAGGTTTCAGTCCTAAGGTTTACACAGAATAGTGAACACTAGAAAGACATGACTAGATTTTTAGATGACAATAACATCTTTCATAACTTGAGAAACTTTGTGATAAAAGTAACACTCAGTGTTTTATCCGGATTCAAACTTGAAAGAAACAAATTTTCTGACATCAACATATGCAAGAGTGGATCAATAAGTCCATAGTTAATAACTGAATTTTAATCTGAAAATTGCACAGTGCAGTTTCATCTATATGATTAATATTCCCTACTTAATTAAGTGCATTGACAAGGAAGTTTAAGTTAGGTTGGTTAATTTAATGACATATCAATGTTTAGGTTAATTAATGTTGAATGTAACTTTCATAGGACAAAATTTACAATCAATTAATGAAACTGTAGACATAACAGTTTTACACTAGAGATAAAAGTGGGAGATATGTGGTTTTATACTATAGTCAAAAAGAGAAGATATTGATATCAGAGTCTGCAATCATCCACTTGGAAAGTTGCACTTCTACAGTGACTACAGTCAGCAATTCTAAAAAATAAAAATAAAAAAAAACTTTTTTTTCATCATTAAACTATAGATTTCCTAATGCAAATATCTATATGAGCAAAGATAAAATAAAATAGAACAACATAAACAAGATAAATACCAAATACAAAAATTTCTGTCTTTACACTGCCAGGAATCACAGCTGGAGGAATCTTGGATGTAATTGAATAAACATACAGACCACGTTCATTTTCTAAAAAAAAAAAAAAAAAAAAAAAAATCAATTCATCTTTCTAGATCATAAAGGAATATCCAAAAATTAATATTTCTAAGAGTTATTTCATAAAAATTCAACACCAGCACATAGGCAATTGTGCATATTGTACCAAAATGCAACAACACTATGACAGTACTAGCTACATCAGCTAATGACTGAACAATATATAAAATGACAAATAATTCAAAGTGCATTGAACCACAATTCTTAGTCCTGATATTGGAAATTCTCATGGCAGGAAATTACCAAAAGACATACTGAAAATTGTCAAGTTATTGTCTTTAATTTTAAGAAGTATCATTATTATTCCAAGAGTTGTCTGGATAGAAGGAGATTATCAGGTATATTAATTAACATCTTAACCTGGGGTTCCACACACCCACAAGTAGTGCACAAGACAATTTTGGTGGGTGCAAAAAGAGAATGCTAAACAAACTTTATCTTTTCTATTTTATTGCCTCTTCACCCTTAAACAGCAGATACCAAATGATTAAAAAGGTGAAAAAAATCTTCATCCATCCAGGTTTTCATTAAATGGTACACAAAAATGAATTAGTTTCTCTTGCTCTTATATATATATATGTGTGTGTATGTATGTATGTTTATTTATTCAGTAAATCAATGAAAGCTCAATAGGCTTATACTGACTGATTTCAGAGTTTAGAGTCAAATCATTTAGCAAAGTCAAATTTTCAATAAATTTATTGAAATTATCAGATTTCATATTATACTCCTCAGAACAAATGCTAATTAGACTTCAAATTTGAAATTTTTAACATTTAAATTTAGAACTAGTTCAAATGTTTTAATTTAATATCACTATAGATACAAATATACAAATAATCTATTTTATCACTTAAACTCTTGGTGGATACCCATATTTGAGTAGCTGCTCCATTTATTTATTAAACAGTATATTTAGTTATTTTCATCTACCTGCCTGGATATTAGCAGTCTTTTAGTGCTCAATATTAAGTTATAAAGCATTAATAACAACAAATAAAATTAAATGTTCAGTTTATCTATCTATACTCAGAGTTTTGCAGATATAGTAACGACTCCTGGTTTTATAGTAATATTTTTATCTTTATAAAGTCCCCAGAAGGAACTGATAAGTTGAACATCCTATAATGACTGTGCTTGTCCCTACCATCATTAATTCAGACAACCATTATCCCCTGCCAATACCTCCTAAATAATGAACTATTCTGTTTTGATCATGTGGAAAAAGGTGGAAAAGACATTACTTGGTTTAAATGAGAAAATGAAAGAAAGAAGATATAAGTGGAGAGGGAGCGAGAGAGAAAGAGAGAGAATCAGATTAAGCTGAAAAGAACAGATACTACACTTTGATCTTCGCCAAAAGGCTGAGAAGTGATAGCAAACAATAAATGCACCATTTTTCATATGAACTGTATTGAACGACAGAAACTTAATGAAAGCAATTACCAAAAATCCAGTTACAATAAATAAAAATAACATCGTCTGCTGAATTATTTTTACATTATTAAGACAAATGTTCATAAGATGGAGATTTGGTGAGAAAGAAAGGGAATATAGAAATGTTTAATGTCTCCTGACAATATCTCATAAATGATGAACTATTCTGCTGCTTTGATTGCGTAGAAAAACAAAAGACATATGCTACTTGGTTTCAGTGAGAAAAAAAAAAAAAAAAAAAAAAGATAGAAGTGTTTAATGTCTGTTTCTGTGAAATGGAAAAGTTGTCAATTTCAAAATTTTTTGATTTGTAATCCATTACTTCTTAAAATAAGGATCAGCATTCATATTTATGATTGTTATTGCAATATTTTGTTAAAGTTGTTAAGCTCAAATATTTAGCAAGGTGATAGAATTTCTATGGATATTTTATTGCTGTAGAACTCGCCATCATCTTATTCAATGATTAACTTAAGAATTAAGACTCATCAAAAAATAAAAATAGGCATGGTCTTTCTAGTTTAATTTTATTTGTGTCTGTGTGTGATATGAACAAACTATATACACAGTGGTGAGGGGGGCAAATTTTAAGCCAATTTGTAAGCAGCTCACAAACCTCTAGGACACACATATTCTGAATGTACAATTTCTTGACGGAATCCTGGAACCTGAAGAGAGAATAAAAGAAAATCTTCAAAAAGATTTAATGGAACAAAAAGCATTTTATTAATGTGCTTAAAGGAGCTTAACATTTTCAAATGTTTGTATTCCACAAGATCTAAAGTTTTCATATTTACATATGTACATGTACAGAAATGATTTTTTTTAATAGTTTTTTTTTTAATATTCTCAGGTGGGTTTCCAAAAGTCATAATTCAGTTAAAAAAGTATATTAACATTGTAAAATTAAATCTTAACTGTTTCTGCTATTGACACAAACATTTTACTTTTTAATTAAAAATTATCAAATAAAAAACATTGATAAATAAAAGCTAAATCCATGTAGTAAAGTTCATATTTTTATTGCTTAATATAGCATGCTTCATTTTATGGATATTATAAATGACAATTATTTGTCATGGAATCCAATGTAATATTACAATGGTAAAAAATAAGCCATTATTAGCCATTCATGACCAGGAAAACTTATCCATCCACTATAGTAATATATTCAATGTAGAAAGTATATATTGTAATATATTCAGCAATGTGGTTGAGCAAAGAGGGTGATGGATGGTGGGATCAAAGGGACTTGATCAAATAACTACACATCAAAAATAAGATGACCATGTAAATATACATTAATGTGGATTTGATCAGCAAAATGATCAGTAAATATTTGTGGCAATATTTGTAAATATACATATTTCATTTTTTTTTCTTTTTTTAGGCCGCGTGATGTATTTAGATGATTTAATATAAGAAAAGCTTCAACAAGCAATCTCATCTTTTTCTTTCTATTCTATAACTAAGTAAAGCAAGGCTTATCAACAACAGAGTAATGGACTGTATTGCATTTTTCTACTCTACTACTAGACAAGATATCTTATAAAACATCAGTGGAGCAATGAATAGTGGCTTGGATCAAGGAATCGGATGAGCTGAGTTTGAATTCCATTACATTCACTTACATGCTAATACCCTTGGGAAAGGTATGAATCCTCTTCTACCCCCAGCTATGGGTAAATAGCAGGACAGTCCGGGTTCTATAGTCTTGGATGGCAAATGGTCTACAGCAGAAAGAAATGGCAGCCTACTGTGGGGAAAAAATCTGCCTCGTCAGTCATGTATCGAAAGATGCATGATCACCTAAGCGTGTATCATGCATGGCACATAACTGATTGACATTAAAGATTGCATTGTTTAAACTCAATGACCATGCAAATAATGTGCTGAAAAGTTTTTATCCTGACATCCTTGCAAACATTTGAGCAAACGTCAGAATTCTTTTTTTTTTTTAAATTTCTTTTTGGTCAAGTGAATCCCCATTTCATACAATATCAGTTTCATTGATTGATTTGTTTTTTTTTATGGTTTATCAACCTTTTCTAGGTTATTTAAAGCTGGAAAATATTTTTAGATTATAAGAATTCTTTGGAGATAATCAGGATTTACTGATGCAAGTCCTACTAATTAACCTATAAAGAAAAGTTGGATTCATACATTTCCCCAAGGGTATTTGTGCATAAGTAAATATAACAAATCCAACTGGAATTGGAACTCAGCTTTCATATTTTCAATTCTGTGACATTATCCATTACACCACCGCACATTCAAGCTTATAGCACCTGTTATTTCCAAGCAGTCACCCATCTAGGCACTGACCAGGCTCGACATTGCTTAACTTCAGTGATTGTATGAGAACTGGTGTTTCTATGTGATATGGCCATAAGCCTAAGAAATGCGTGTTCACACACACACACACACACACAATTGTGATACTATTTGTCATTGTGGTGGTAAAACAGAAGAAAGTGTTATGTACTGAGAGACATTGAAACAAGAATGGTTAATACCAAAAACCCGGGGGTGGGGAGAATCGAGGATTTAATTCACACATAAACAACTTGAATGTTGAGCAGTTTGAACAATGGAAAAGTGACCTAGACTTAGGGGGCAATGTTGATTCATACACAGCTGCAAAGCAAAAAAGATTTTTGTAAACAACTGAATTTGGAACAAAGTTTTCCTGGACAGAAAATGGTCAAGTTAGCAGGCACGGATAAGGCATCAAGGAGGATGGAGGAACCACCCATGTTCACTGAAGAGGTAGGTGAGAGAGGTTAATAAGAGAGAGAGTAGAGAGAAGGAATTCCCCAAAGATGTGATGTAAGCCAGAGGGGATTCACCAAAATGCTCCTACCTCACCATACCCCCCCATGCCAGTTTGGATGAATGTCCATAAATACGAATGCACAAAGCAAATTGAGAAGAAGAGAGGCAGAAGAGACAGAGACAAGACCTCAGAGAGGAGAGAAGTCCATGTGATTATCTGCCACCAAAAGCCTCTGACTGCGGCCTTGTGCCAAACTTTACCAAAACAACAAACCAAAATGCCAAGTCAACAATGATAATATCACTTCCGATTTAGATGCAGGTTGGGCTGATAATTAATTGCATGTGAACTCTGATATAAACCAATTATTGTATGGAGGACCAATATAAAAAGCAGTATTTACTTTTGTTCAATTTATTCAAGTGTTTTTTTTTCCTGTACATCATCGCCCTGCTTGGACCAGCCTAATGCAATGATACCTACAATAATTCAATTTTAGTTGCCTTATGATCAACTTTAAATCACAACGTGGGATAAAGTTAGTTCTGGATTGAAGCGGTCACTTCAGCAACCAGCTGCAGTGTTGGAAGTCTTGGACGGCTGGAGAGGGTGTTGCATGATTACATATTGTCATAAATACAAAAAATTAGCAAGGTAATAATACGAAATTAAAAAATTAATTAGCAATGTTAATGTAAGTAAAAATAACTAAATCCTTATTTTAAACTTTTTAAAGCTAACAAGACTTAATGAAAATTTCAAAATATTTTTTCCATTTACAAGTAAATTCCAAGACAAAATAAATGTAGTGTAAACCAAAAGATGATTTTAAATACATGTTATTTATTGATCAAGTTAGTTCTATCATCACTGATCTAACTCCAAAATACCAATCAGGATGGACTTCTTGGGGAAGTAGTGTGCCTGTTGGGTCTCAAACTCACACCCAACTTGAAATGGAACTTGTACATATGATCCATTGCTAATGGTTGGCTCTCTGTATCATTCCAGTAAGTACCTGACTCCTCCTGATAACCTCTACCTTTACAAGAGCCAGATCAGGCCAAAAATGGAATACTGTTGTCATATTTGGGTGGGTGCTGCCCAGACCTCACTCTTGATGGAGTTCCAAAGTGCCTTTGAGTTTGCATGGGTGATGAATTTTTTCTCCACCCTTTGACCCCTCTCCCACAGGTGGAATGTGGCAAGGCTCTAACTGCTCTATCGCTACTTCTATGGGAGGTGCGCAGACAAACTACATTCCTTGGTCCTACCGAGACAAACCTTCACAGCAAGAACATGCCATGCTACTTACACAGTAGCAAACCACCCACATTCCATTGTATTCCATTGGTGAGAAGTTCCACTTGAGCAGCTTCTTCCCATTAACCACTGCCCTGTGGAAGTAACTTCCAACAGGAGATTTTCCCAATTGCTACAATTTTAATCTGTATCTTCCACTCATATACATACAAATGGTCCCCAAATATAACCCTCTACCTCAAGTGGCTCCTGAGCCTTGTAAAGGATGAACATAGCTGTAAAAAAAAAAAAAAAAAAATTATCCTGTCGAAACATCCAATCCAATTTTTTAAATATCTAATTCAACTTTTGTCTTGTCACTCATCAGACCATAATATTTTATTCCAGAATGAAGATGTTCAGGTGGTGCAATAGCAGCTCAGAATGAGAAATTGGAAAGCCAAGTTCAAATTCCAGTCAGGTTCGTTGGACTCACTTATGTGTAAATACCCTTGGGAAAGATATGAATCCTCCCTTGTATCTGGAAAAATCATTATTATCTCCCAAAAATTCCTAATGCAATATTCACTTATATAGCAAAAAGGAATTATTCAGCTTTAAATAACCTACAAAGGGTTGATAAGCTAAAAAAAAAAAAAAAAAAAAAAAAAAAAAAAAAAAGAGAAAAAAGTCATTCATTTATTTCAGAAGGAAGGTGGCTCCTTGTGATAATTATTAGAAAAGTTGATTTATTCATTTATTTTCTAAACAGAGGAGTGTCCAACAAATTGTATTATTGCTCACTTCTGTCCTAGGTGCTGGCAGGTCCTTCTGAAGCTCTCCCTGAGTAAGGAGGGGGTTTTCAGTACTTTCTGAATAATTGTTGTTGTACATTTGCCTAAATTACAAGGGTGTTCTGTTCAAAGAGGTTTCTTGTCAGGCCATATTACTTCTATTTTCAAATGATGGGAATATTAATTTCATTGGAGATCTTTTGATATACCATTTTTCATGATGACCAATTATAACTCTACAAACTTCGAGAAACCTTTGCTTCTGCCATTTAGTTTTAGTCCTGTTTGCTTCCCCATCTATAATGAAAAATCACAAAAAAAATATTCAAAAAAGCTTGTTTTTCAGCACTAGCTCCCTTGCTTTTCATCCAATGCTTTCCAAATTTGCTATGTAAGTTACATATGACCCACAAATTGTTTTGCATAAATGTTTGGTTTAGATTATTTCAGTTAAGTAGACAAAATCTGACAAACTAGGTCCAAAATAGCCTTTTGCCGTTTAGCCAATAGTTTCTTCACATGATTCCATCCTAAATTGGCTTTCAAACAACTTTTGATGCAGAGATTGTTTGAGAAGGATTATTGTAGTGTTAAAAGGAAAAATGTCCAAAGAACCTCTTATTAACTCCAGCTTTACAGTAAATGTGTGAAGAAGGACGGGGCATTCATGTGTTTGCACTTGAATCAAGCTATGGTGCTTCATCCCCGTTTTTGTTTGATTGTTAGATTTGTACACAATGCTGTACTATTTGAAAGTTATTATGATCATAGGATATTTATTGAATATCTAAAACACTGAAACAATATAATCCCAAGCAAGAAGGTTTTATCGATGGAATTACTTTAAGAAAAATCAAACACATTCCATAAAAAAGATAGGTGGGTAGCTAAGTATACCAATGGGTGATGCAGGCAAGCGGGGATGCAGACAGACATTTCTAGACAAAGTGGGTGGGGTATAGAGGAGAGGGTACAGTTATACAATTGCAAAAGAAAATACAGGGAGAAATGTCGGATTAAAACAAGGGTACCTCAGCTAGTCATTGATAACTCCTCCAATATGCAGACTTTAGTTACTATATTCTTAATACTTGATATAATGCAAAAATATCACAATGATAAAAATCAGTCGATAATTATTTATAACTATTTATACTGGGACTCATGCATGCAATTACAAGTAATCCATAATAATATTTTAAATTTTGAACACTTATTTTTGGCATATGAATTTTTGAAATTGTTTCTAAATCTTTCATAGTCTTTCAATCATTCCACCTCGCCATTTTGGAACAACTGCTCCAAGTATTTACTGCTTAACATAATTTTTATGTTTGTAGCTACATTAGAATTTTATTTCCTTAAAAAACAAAACATCAAATCTTATGTATCCAATACTTTGATGTGATGGCAAATGGGTTTAAATAGCAAAATAGAGTGGGATTTCAAGTTTTTTGATGGCATCCAGTCTAAGAAAAAGACAATTCCAAATTCAACACCATGGAAAAAGGTAAACTGGAAGTCTCTATTGTTCTCCAGTAAGTCATGGCAATTCAAAAATATTAATAAAAGCTGGCATTATAAAAAAAAAAAAAAAAAAAAGTGATCTTAAAATTATTTCTTACCAACACTTCAATAATGGCACTGCTGACATCACTCTTTCCAATGTATTCCCTTTCGATTGTATTAGAAGTACATTTACCATATTGTGTTTCAACAACCATAGCCTAAATTCAGGAAGTAAAAAAAAACAAAAACTCAGGAAAATTATATCAGAAAATTTAACCTTCTGAAATTAAAAAAATATCAAAGCATCAAATTTCTTTACTTATTTTAATTTATATTATTTTTTTAATGTTTTTATGGGTTTTTTTTCTTCAAAATAATGTATATTTCACTGATCAGAATTTTTTCAACATAAAAATAAAAACATCATAAGAAAAATACATGTCACAATTTCAAGAAATGTTTGAATGACTGAACTCTTTATTCTTATTCCTGCTATAGCTTTTACATTATTATTGTCATACTGGAACACACCTATACTATAGTTAATAGACTCTCCCACCTATAATAAGTAGTAGTAGTAGCAGTCGCGAATTCGCTCAGTAAGTTGGTCAGTCAGTTGATGTCTGACGACCATTAGTCGGATATTAAAGTATCAGCCACCACAACTAGATTTCTCTGCATCATTAACTATTATATCAAGTTCCTAATGTTTTGTACGTCGAACCTGTTTTAGGACCGACTTAGTGAAATACAAGCCTCTACTGTGAAACTACTCTATAACAATTATATAAGCCATGATTTAGAATTTGGTTTCTTGTTCTTTTCAACCAGCTGATAATTGTGTGACCACTCAAAAATTAACTTGTGTCCACATGAAATTGCAGATTGCAAAAGCAGTGACTTATAAGTATGTCTTATATATTGTTTTTTTTAGTGTATGTGTGTGGGTGTGTGTATATATATATATATATATATATATATATATATAATAGGAACAAGGTGAAAGTAAAGTTTTTTTATTCAATTTTTCTTGCATTCATACACATATTTTATTTTCTGGACAGAGTGCGT